CAAGCTTGGGAAAGAGTTTGGGGGAGGTGGGGGGAGAGGAAAGGGGGAGCTCCTTTAAAATTCACCATGTTTTGGTTTGGCTGCCATATATCCATCCTGAAAATTGGCCATAGTGCAGGAAACCACTTGCCTGCTTGTCTGCAACCCCCTTGGAGGCTGCACAGTTCTCCGGCCCCCTCCAGCGGCTGCAGAACATGCCAAGGAAATCAGCCTTTTCCAGCAGGATTCAGGCTTTTCCAAGCCCAGCCCTTGCTGCAAAGGAACAGTATCCTCCTCCTCCTGCCCACGGCCGGGGAAATCATGAGGCAGCCAGCCATGCTCTCCACACCACAACACCTTTATTCAGCTAAAGAGGGACCCAGCACACCACCGACACCTCCCAACCCTCCCAACACCACCAGGCCACCTTAGAAGTGGGATTCTGTCACCTCTGTTGTGTCCTGGGCAAGTTCTTACACCCGTTTTCTTCACTGGAACAGGAAGGGCTAAAGAGGTGCTGCACCCAAAAGGCCAGTTTTGGTGTCAAAAGTGTTTTACTTGACTTTGAGGATAGGAAAAAAACAAAACAAAACCAAAACCACCAAACCAAAAAACACTTCAACCCAACAGATGCCGTTCTTCCGCCTTCTGCAAAACTCCCAAAGAGCAGTAAATTGTATTTGGGTACCAGCATTTCATGCTTTGGAAATCCCCTATAGCAACAAAGAGGAGGAAAAAAGCCCACATGAAAAAAAAAAAAAAAGACTGCTTTGGATCTGCTTTGCTTATTACAGATCTGTCTCGGTTCTTTAACCATTTTCCAAATCTTGTTATCCCACCTCCACCCATGCTTACAGCAAGGCCACACAATGCACACTTTATATATTAGGCACAAATATAACAACAGGCATCCTTCAATATAGGGGATGGATACTGCAGACATGTTTAATTTCCCCACCCACGACCTCACGATACTCCTTTATTATTCCATGTTATCTGAGAGTGCCCCACGGACAACAAGGAAAAAAATCCCTTTCCAAAAGAGACTGTTTTGCTACACAGGAGGAAACGGTGAAGTCTGAGCTAAGGCAAAAATAAATGCTGTTTATATAGTGTGAAGATAAATACCATGCACACGTTGCTCAGATTTCATATCGGAAGACTGTCGTTTCCTGGGTTTAATAGGACAGAGACAAGCAGAAGAGACAGGTTTTGGCCCTAAGGGACAGGAGACCAAGGTCTACCTAATCATTAATCTGTGTTGAGATTCATTATTATCTCTCTACAATGAAAATTCCAGATCGTCTAAGTCTCCATATTAAACCACTTCACTTAGGCAAAGCTGGCTTTACACAACCCCAGCAACCAACATCCCCAGGGACCTACTCTATCAGTAGTTGGTGCACTTGCAGCTTAATATTAGGAGTTGTCCCCCTAAGTTGGACTCCCTTCAGGCCCTCAAACCACAAGAAAGACCACACAGGTTTAACACTGAGACCTCTGCAGGAGGCAAAGTCCCTAAGTTAAGATGGGAGTTGGATGGGTAGCCCAGCCAAAATGTCTCCTGCACTTCAAAGCTTTGACTCTGCAAACGTCCAAGCGATTGATGAACTTCAAGCTTTTGGGTTGGGACAACCATCCTTTGATCTGTGGATCCACGGGAAGGGAAATCCTTTGGACTCCACATCAGTTGGATTTGAAGACGCATGTAGTCCTTCAAGCCTGAGGTCAAAAGAACCACCCATACACACAGAGGCCAAAGTTCTCACCCACAGCACGCCTTGAGCTTAACAGTGGGACCTACAAAGGAACCATACCAAGAGCAGGGACACCTCCCACCAGACCAGGTTGCTCCAAGCCCCATCCAGCCTGGTCTTGAACCCCTCCAGGGATGGGGCAGCCACAGCTTCTCTGGGCAACCTGTTCCAGTGCCTCACCCTAAAGAATTTCTTCCTAATATCTAGTCTAAACCTCCTCTCTTTCAGTTTAAAACTATTCCCCCTCATCCTATTGCTACACTCCCCAAGGCCAAAGTTCTCACCCACAGCATGGTTTGAGCTTAACAGTGGGACCTACAAAGGAACCATACCAAGAGCAGGGACACCTCCCACCAGACCAGGTTGCTCCAAGCCCCACCCAGCCTGGCCTTGAACCCCTCCAGGGATGGGGCAGCCACAGCTTCTCTGGGCAACCTGTTCCAGTGCCTCACCGTAAAGAATTTCTTTGTAATATCTAATCTAAATCTCTCCTCTTTCAGTTTAAAACTACTACCCCTCATCCTATCACTACACTCCTTGATAAAGAGTCCCTCCCCAGCTCTCCTGTAAGGCCCCCTTTAAGTACTGGGAGGCTGCTATAAGGTTTCCCTGGAGCCTTCTCTTCTCCAACACTCTCAGTCTGTCTTCACAGAAGACCTGTTCCAGCCCTCTGAGCATCTTCATGGCCCTCCTCTGGACTCACTCCAAAAGGTCATAGAATCATTGAGGTTGGAAGAGACCCTTGGGATCATCAAGTCCAACCATCTCCCCTACTCTACAAAGTCCTCCCCTACACCATATCCCTCAGTACCCCATCTAAATGTCCCTTAAACACATCCAGGGATGGTGACTCCACCCCCTCCCTGGGCAGCCTGTTCCAATGCCCGACCACTCTTTCGGTGAAAAATTCCTTCCTAATGTTCAATCTAAACCTACCCTGTTGGAGCTTGAAGCCGTTCCCTCTCGTTCTATTGTTAATTACCTGTGAGAAGAGACCAGCCCCAGGTCCTTCCTGTGCTGAGGACTCCAGAGCTGGACACAGTACTCCAAGGGGAGTTTCAGCAGAGCAGAGGAGAGGAGTAGAATCACCTCCCTCGACCTGCTGGCCACGCTTCTCTTGGTTCAAAAGACCAAACACTGAAGCTTCTATAATTAAAATTTTAACAGGTCATCTGCAGAGGCTTAGCTTTATGTCCTCAAGCTACATCAGGCACTGAGTTAACAACTAAATTCTCCAAATTTCTTCAGGCTACCCTCCATCATTCACACCATGGCATTTCACCGTGGTCCATTCCAGGGGGAGCCAGCTCTCCCCAGAGGAGCACATGCCTTCCACATTCATCCTACCACCTTCACCCAAAAGGCACTAAGGGGTGACCAGTTTGGAAAACTGTATGAACAAGTAAAAATCAAGGGGGGAAAAAAGCTGACCCAAAGAAGCTGTTGCCATGGCACTTTCTCAAGACAACCTAACCTCATTTTCTGCATCTGTAGGCTGGAGTTAGAGAGTATGTCTGGTCCGTGCTTACATTCATCCTACCACCTCCACCCAAAAGGCACTAACGGGTTGACCAGTTTGGAAAATTGGATGAACAAGTATAAAAATCAAGGGGGAAAAAAGCTGACCCAAAGAAGCTGTTGCCATGGCACTTTCTCAAGACAACCTAACCTCATTTTCTGCATCTGTAGGCTGGAGTTAGAGAGTATGTCTGGTCCGTGCTCCTGCAAAACATTATGGTTCCACCACCAAGGTGACAAGAGGCTTTATAACCTGTTTGCATCTTTCAGGCGTGTTAACACCTCTATAAAGCAAGCACACAACTCTCAGGCAACGTGCTCATGGGCTGCCCTGGCCTCCAGCATGGCGAAAACCTAAACCATCTGCAGGCCTGAAACAGAAACAGTGCAAAACTGCTGCCTTCTCACCTTGAAATCGTGCCTACAGCTTCACATCCCTGCCATTGTACCTCACCTGGTGAGGGTTTGGAAAGCATCCTCTGCTTTGGTATAGGAGCTCTGAGTGTAACCACCACACTTTAGCTTGTTCAGCAGTGCAAATTTTGCCACCTTATGCTAAGATCAGTGAGCAGAGCAATGTTAAGGGGCCAGCTGGACCTTCCAAGCCTGGCCATGGAATTGAAATAACAGGAAACAACCTGGGACCGTGTTTTTCCTGCCCCACCTCCTTCTCTGAAAGCATCTTGGAAAGGCACATGTTCTTCAGCAGATAATAAAACATACAAGAAATCCATCACTGCTTACCAAACTTCACCCTAAACGTATCCCATAGTGGGAGGACCAGAAACTGAACTGTGATTTTTGCATTCGTTTATGCCTCTGGAAAAAGAACATTTTGTTACTAGTGTCAAGACCTATGGGGCAAGTCCACAGGGCAGCCTTGAGGATCTGCTTCAATAGTGGCACGACAACCAGGGCTGTCAGCCAAAGCCATCTGAAACTGAAATCCAAGGTAGCTTAAACAACCCCACTTCCCTGTAGCCACAGGAGGTCAAGGAGAAGACCATCCAGAGCTAGAAGACATTCCCAGGAGGGGCTGTCTTACTGTCCTTGCTGTTTCATGCTCAACTCAGCTCTCAACAAGAAGTTCCTAGGCACTAATAGCATAAAGAAATCCCCAACATCTTTAGGATCACATCTGGAAAAATACCCTTGCCAACCGCATGGGCGTGGGAAGAACACTTGGCACAGAAAAATTGTCCAAAAAATCAACTTATAACACAGGGACTTAAAACTTGGATCAGTAAAGGAAAAGCAACTACCAATTATCACCTGGGGGACCATCATCTCTGTCCTTCTAAAGTTGCTATTTTGACAATGTTTCCTACAGAATGACTATGTCACTACCCTTAAGGACGTGGTTGACCCTGAGATCCTGATGAAAGGCTGTCGACTCGCTGCAGAATGACACCCCTCTGCAAAGTTGTGACATGAAGGTAAAGCAACGTAGAGGCACTGGAAATGAAAAGAGCCCAGGCTCCTGCTTGCAACACTGCATTCAGAAGCACATAACCTCCTAACTCTTCAAGAAAAGACAAAAAGTCCTTTCTTTTCCTTTTTCCACGATGCTGGTAGAAGCCATATGCAAACAAAAAGACCTATTAAGTGGATCTGGGAGGGTTTTCTCTGGTTATACTGCCATTGCATGATATGGAGTGGACAGATAGATAGGAACTTCTATTTCCATGTGCTGTGCATTGTCAGCTGCTTTACTGGACTTTCAATAACACCACCATCACTGCAATATTGCAAGCAGGCAGTCTAGAGCTCATTTTGGTGTTTTTTTTCTTCATAACCACACAGATACATTCACAGGCATTGTATCAACTGCCACCCAGCACAGCAACACAACAGTTTAATTTAGCAACCCTCCACTGTTGCTCCTGGTCGCTCCCAAATATTCAAACCCACTTTTACAGCAAACAGGAGGTTAATTCAGCCATTACTTTTCCAAAAAGTACCCCAGAAATCATTCAGGTTCAGGACGCTGGCTTCATCTGAGTATCACAGTCCTCGTCCCACCTCTGCCACAGAGGGATCACATCCCCATGATGCTGCTGGGTGGCTACCAGTTTCCAGAGGTGAAACTCCCTTTTCCTCTTCTCTCCACGTTTTCTCACTCGTGCCAGTCACCAGAGCCAGTCCCAGGCCATCAGGATGAGGAACCAACCAGCCCTTGCCTTGTCCATCACAGTGCTGGGGGGGGAGAGCCAAGCCAGACCCGGTGCTCTGTACAAAGGATTTGGACAGGACACATTCTGCCACTTCCCCCCATCTGCATGATGGGGCCTCTACACGAAGAAGAAAGCCAAGTCAGCAGCCACCTCGCAGCACGGAAAGATGTGGATACCATCAATTTTCCAAGTAACACACAGTTACAGTAACACACAGTAACAGTGCTGGACAGGAAACGATGCGTTTCACACCAGAAGAGGACAGAAGAAACTACACCCACTTTTACAGCAGCAGTCACAAGCTCCACAGGGAAGAGAAAGGCCAGGTACTGAGGGCAGAAAGAGGACAGTGTTGTTGTAAAACCCCTTACCAAGGCGAGGAGAGACTCCCTTGTACACTATAGGAAGAGAAAAGGCTGAAGTCAGGACACTTTCCCCAGGCAGAAGTGCCACTGAGACCCAAGGTGCGTGTCACACAGAGCAATAAAAGAGGTAGAGTCATAACAAACAGACATATGCTAACAGCTAGAGGATATATTGTATTTGCTCACGTTAACAGCCACACACACACTTATTGGCCTCGTTGCCCAACCGAGATTCACCAGTTAGAGAACCGGTAGCTTAGGAGCAGACACACAAAACCACTGCACCCTAAATTTGGAGGGGGAAAATTTGGAGGGCAGGGAATTATGTGCACTCCATGGGCAACACAGTATTTCACTGCGGGGGCAGGGTTAGGCTTGGCTTTTATCAACGCACTCATTTACCAAATCAAACCGTCCTTGGAAAGCAGCCGGTTGCCCTTTTAACTGTGTTCATGAAGTAAAAATTGTTTAATGGGGTCTGGGATTGGAAGGATATGGATGAGATCCAGACGAGCTTTGCCAAGTATCCTTCGTACGGCGATGCGGCAGAGGGACAGGAGGCTCCGGGTGCGGCCTGCAACCAAGAAAGCAGAGAAAAAACTACTGAGGGACAACAGGGAGAAGAAGAAAGAGGGATAACTGGTGTGTAAACTGTGCTGAGCTCCAGCTGACAGCCCAGGAGCCAGCCACCCCTTCCATATCCCACATCCACATCCCACCCAGCACCACGAAGGGACCCCAGGAGAGCTGAGCGTGAGGAGGCCGTCTCTTCGGCCAAAGATTTGGAGCAACCACAGCTGCAGTTTGGAAGGGCAAGCTGGGTTGTGACCAGGGAGACAGTCCCTGCACGAGAAGGATTAAGAGATCACGGCTGAATCCACACCAAGGGAGGAAGCGAGAGGCTTTATACTATTTGGATAATTTTAAAATTACGTGGACTTTTTGTTTGTCTAAACCATCCCCCCGTGATTCACCAGCATCGATGGCCAGCTCAGGCCTTATCCCAGCTTTCTTTTAAGGACTTGTTTTGAGTTCACAGAGAGCTCTTCCAGCACTGGGACAAGAGGATGGTGGTATCCCTGTTGATTCAGGAACTGGACCTCCAAGGCACCACTCCGTGATCCTGCGTGCTCCACCTGAAGCAGTCCCATTTGCCTTCTAAACCTAGGCTTAATGGAAACCACCTGCTCCAGCTTATGTGAGCCCTCTTCTCAGCAAAAGTCCAGGCAGGTTTAAAAACCAGGCACGTGCAAAGCTGAATAAACTCTGGGAGGGGGGGGCTGGGAGTTGTATCCCACAGCCTGAATCCCTTGGAAACTTCTCGGGAGTTTGAGAGGGAAGCCTAACTTCCGACCCCGGTGCAAAGAAAAGCCCTGGCCTTCACCAGCTGAACCTCGTGGTTTTATGAGGTGCTGCCCTTGCTGGAACAAGGGTGTGCACTGCACTCGTGTTGCTTCTGTGATATAAAAAAAAAAAAAAGAAATCGCAGGTAAATTTAGGTCTGTTCAAGTCTGAGGGTCTGTTTTACTTCTTTTGTAACTCATTTGCTTTCTAGAGGATGTTAAATAAAAAAAAAACCAGCTTTTCCCCTACTTTCTTCCACCACCATCTGAGCTCCCTCCTGCTGCTTGTTACCACCATTTGTGACTTGACTTCTCAAGAAGCCTGTGCAGATGCAACTACCTCTTGGGTCCCTCCCTAGGCCCCCCTGCAGAGCACAGGATGTCTCAAGAACAGTGAGGAGACATCTGTAGGGCTTTGGAGAACCCAGCCTCACTGGGTATGCCCTAACCCAACGCAAAGCCCAGCTCTGATAGGACCTCAGGCTCAAGTTGCTGGGGACACCGCCAGGCAATGGAAAAGAGCTGGGAGGAAGATGAAAAACGTAAAGTTAGAGAGGTAAAGGAAGGACCTGAGAGGGGAAACCCCACATGGACATACAAAACGCAACACAATGGCTTTAATGTCTTTAAACTGGAGGGGAGCAGATTTAGATTGGGCTGCTGGGAACACTGCCAGGCAATGGAAAAGAGCTGGGAGGAAGATGAAAAACGTAAAGTTAGAGAGGTAAAGGAAGGACCTGAGAGGGGAAACCCCACATGGACATACAAAACGCAACACAATGGCTTTAATGTCTTTAAACTGGAGGGGAGCAGATTTAGATTGGAGATGAGGAGAAAGTTCTTCACTATGAGGGTGGTGGAGCACTGGAACAGGTTGCCCAGGGAGGTTGTTGAGGCCCCTTCCCTGGAGATATTCAAGGTGAGGCTCGATGAAGCAACCTGGTCTAGTTGGGGGTGTCCCTGCTGACTGTGGGGAGGTTGGACTAGATGACCTTTGGAGGTCCCTTCCAGCCTGGACAGTTCTATGATTCTAACACAAGAAAAACAGTCTAGCTGGGGGCTTGTGGGGAAGTCATTGGGTTGAGTCATCAGAGGCAGGCAGCATCTCAGCAACACCAAGGATCCGTGCCAGGGAGCCACAGAGGTCAGCCCCACAGTCTTCTCCTGCCTGGCCAGCAACAGCTCTTTAGGAGCCTTACCACGGGTGGGTAAGTCCTCAGTGCTTAGCTTAATAGCTTGTTGCACCCCAGTTAGCTTTTTTAGGGTGTCAGAATTGCTTTACACTTTTAAGTTAGGTGTCAGGCTGGATATTAGGAAAAATTTTTTATTCTATGAAAAACAGTCTAGCTGGGGGCTTGTGGGGAAGTCATTGGGTTGAGTCATCAGAGGCAGGCAGCATCTCAGCAACACCAAGGATCCGTGCCAGGGAGCCACAGAGGTCAGCCCCACAGTCTTCTCCTGCCTGGCCAGCAACAGCTCTTTAGGAGCCTTACCACGGGTGGGTAAGTCCTCAGTGCTTAGCTTAATAGCTTGTTGCACCCCAGTTAGCTTTTTTAGGGTGTCAGAATTGCTTTACACTTTTAAGTTAGGTGTCAGGCTGGATATTAGGAAAAATTTTTTCCCTGAAAGGGTTCTCAGGCATTGGAATGGGCTGCCCAGGGAGGGGGTTGAGGCCCCATCCCTGGAGGTGTTCAAAAGCCGGGTTGATGTAGTGCTGGGAGGTCTGGTTTAGTGATGATGCTCCTTGTTTGTTGTGTGGGTGTCTACTTTTGTCAGTGAGGTTGACGGTTGGACAAGATGATCTTTAAGGTCCCTTCCAACCTAGAAGATTCTGTGATTCTGTAACCACTTACCCCTTGCTTCTTTGAACACCTCCAGAGCCTCGGGGTTGACTTTGACCCTTCCCATGGATTCAACTCCCAAGGCTTCCATTTTCACCAGGTTCAGGTTGGCTCCAAAGTCAATCAAGAGGTGGACGAACGCCGCTTCGCAGCCGTGCCGCAGGACAGCGTCCATCACGCACACCGGGGAGCCCCGGGAGAAGCCTTGGAGGTTGATGGGCCCACAGCAGTTAAAATCTGGGTTGGCTCCTGCCTGGAGCAGCAGGCGGAAGCACTGGAGGTTGTGGTAGGCCGCGCTGATGTACAACGGGCAGACCACCAGCGTGGTGAGGGGCCGCAGCGAGAGGGTGGGGACCCGGGGAGTGAGGTGGTGATTGACGTCCACGTCGGCGCCGTACCTGAGTGGGGGAGAGAAGAAGAGCAAAGGTTTGGAGAGAAGAGCAAAGGTTTCACAGAATCACAGAATCTTAGTGGTTGGAAGGGACCTCTGAGATCATCGAGTCCAACTACAAGAAAAACAAACAAACAAACAAACAAAAAAACAACCACCAAACAAATACAAAACACCCCACACCAAACGCCCACCAAAAACACCGCACCCACCAACTAAACCCCACACTCAACACCTCACCATAAACCAATAACCTTGGGCACTAGAGCATGCCCTGAAGAGCCATGTCTATACGTTTCTTAAATCCCTCCAGGGATGGTGACTCCACCACCTCCCTGGGCAGGCTGTTCCAGGGCCTGACCACCCTCTCAGCAAAGTCATTCTTTCTAATATCTAATCTAAATCTCCCCTGCCCCAACTTCAGACCATTTCCTCTGGTCCTGTCGTTCGTCCTTTGGGAGAAGAGGCCAACCCCCACCTCTCTACACCCTCCTTTCAGGTAGTTGTAGAGGGCAAGGAGGTCTCCCCTCAGCCTCCTCTTCTCCAAACTAAACATGCCCAGTTCCCTCAGCCTCTCCTCATAGGACTTGTTCTCCAGGCCCCTCACCAGCTTGGTGGCTGGTGGTTTGAGAGAGAAGAGCAAAGGTTTGGAAACAAGGGCACACCCCAAGGTGACAAACTGGCAGGGAATGAGACTGAAGGACACCTGGAGCACCCTGTCTCTCTTTGGTACCTTTGGGGTCCACCACCCAAGAACCACCCACACCTACCTGAGAGGGGCCTGGCAGAGCTTCTGAGCAGGGATGGCATACCCAGCACGGTCTGATCTTCAAGAAGCCAAGTTGTTTCTCTGCCCACAACAGCCCAGGCTCGGGAGAGAGCAGCTGAGGAACATCTCTCCTTGCCCTCCTGAAGGATGTGCCTTAGCACAAGGGATGGCTCAGCCCTGAGCATGTCATGTTGGATGCTAATGAATGCTCGATGATCTCAGAGGTCCCTTCCAACCACTAAGATTCTGTGATTCTGTGACTTGCCGTGGTGTGGAGAAGGCATGCGAGCAGGCTAAAGCCCTGCTCAGTGGGCATCAGCATCCTCATCAAACACAAGCAGTGACCACTTTCTGGGAAGTAAGGATGGCACTAAGTTGTGAATGAGCGAAAAACAAGGCAAGGTTTCACAGAATCACAGAATCTTAGTGGTTGGAAGGGACCTCTGAGATCATCGAGTCCAACCACACACAAAAAAAAAACCAAACAAAAAAAACCCCAAACAAATACAAAACACACCACACCAAACGCCCACCAAAAACACCGCACCCACCAACTAAACCCCACACTCAACACCTC